CACCTACCTTTATTATTATTATTATTGCTATTATTATTACCCACAAGTTTTTGAACTTAGGTTCTCTCTATTTCTTTTCAACCATGCAAGTCACAAGTTTCTTCATATTAAAGGCAATCTTGTTCGAGGTACTGTCAAGTATTAAATGTGAGTACCCCTTTCAGTAGAATTTGAACTCAATTAACTATGTTGTGATGGATTTAGCCTCTTCTATTGAAACTAACTCTTGTTGGTGATGTCTAGCTACCTATACTGGGAAGACAGGAAGAATATTCCAGTAAGAGAAAATGGTAGGGATTTTTTTTTTTTTGTAAAAAAAGAAGTTTAAATGAGTTGAGTCTAAAAACACACTACCCGAATACTTGATGTTCTCATTTCTTTAACCAAAGTCCTCTGCTGAAATTTTATTGAAGAAGAAAAGTCTATATGTAGCTTACAAAATGGAATGGAATGAAATGAAATAAAATGAATTTTTTTAGCTATGAAATGAAATGTCAATTGTATTTCTGGATAAAAATTTATCATAAAGTAAAAATAATTGATGAGCTGTATCATGATTTTCTTATAATCAAAGAGGATTTGTATATTTGATATCTGAAAAAATATTTTCTAAAAAATAAAAGAAGAATGTATCTCTCAAGAAAATTAGATAGGTGCATTTCCCATGAAATGAAGATTAATGAACTCTAAGTTCTAGGGGTGTTCACGGGACGGGACGGGATCGGGACATCCCCATCTCATATCCCGTCCTGAAAAAAAAAATCGAGATTGAATTTTAGTCTCATGTCCCGTCCTGTCTCGAAAGTTATCCCGTCCCATTAAGAGTCTGGATGGGATTGGGACAAGATCGGGACATCTCGCCGTCCCGATAAATAGGATAATATCGAAGAAAAATTTGGATAATAATGTTCATTAAAATTTTAAATCATATAATTTATTAAGTTTAAAATCAAAACAATACAAGTATATAAATCACGACAATTTAAAGTCAATAATTGAATTATATTAATCACAACTATACATTATAATAGCAAATACAAGTGATATTTATGCTATAAGAGTAGCAACAACAAGCAAGTTAAGTACAACATTAAATCATTATTCTTCTACTTTAGTGAAGATGTACTAAGCTAATTACTCTTCTAAAAAAAAGTAAGAAATATGTTATAAATAAAAGTTATTAAATAGATAGATATAAGAACAAATTATATTAATATAATTAATATATTATAAAGAAAGATATCACCATATTTACTCCATGTCATTAAAATTATCAATATAAAAAAATTTAGTTTTAAATAAGAATTGCAAGTATTGAAATTATAATTGATATAATTAATATAAGTATAAATTATATTAATATAATTAATATATTTAAAATGAAAAATAATATATACAATATTCGGTACGGGACGAGATGTCTCGATGGTAATCTCGTGTCCCATCCTGTCCCGAACCTCTTTCCTGTCCCGTCCCTTAAAATCTTGTCCCGATTATTTTCGAGTCGGGACCGGGCCAATCAGGATGGGTTTAAGTTGAACACCCCTACTCATTCGCATGTGTCTTCCACTATTTTTCATAACTTGAGAGCCACGCATATTTTAATATTATTATATGGAAATTCGGCACGAAATTTTGCAGGAGCGCGTTCTGATCATTTCTTACGAGTATTCAAATTCAGGCCCTTCCAACACGCCCTCGTAAACTCGCTGCCTCGTCCATAAATAATTATCCCCCGGGCATGATCACTATCTCGAATATTTATAATTTTACGTTACTATTACGCAGCATAGCCAGGGCAAGAAGCAACGAATTGAACTCAAATGTTCGGGGACATGATCTACTGCTTACTTTTAATTGTTCAAATTCTACTCCCGACTTCACATCCATGTCATCCATTTTTAATCAATTCATTAATATCATGACGTGAAGGGGAAGGAAGTCGTCGTCGATCGGCTGGTAAGGATTAAAATTACGATGTTTGGAGTAGAAGAGTAATGGATATATAATAAATAGAAAGAGTGAAAGCAGTGCCTGGGAATTAGTTTATTTATTTATTTTTGTTTAATATCTTTTCTATTTATGACCATCACTCCCATTTCATACGGTCAATTAATGGATCGCTCGGCTTACATTTTTAGTGATCAGAGTTCAACATTTTTGATAGTCTGAATTTAAATTTTATTTGTCAGTAATTGGATGGTTGTTAATTAAATAGGCGGTTTGCTCATTACACAAAGAATGACATGACATGACATAATTATGGAGTCAATTGTAGGGAGTAAATAGGTTCTCACAAAGAAATATAATCCTGATGGTAATCTCAATAAATATAAGACACGATTAGTTGCAAAAAGCTTTACTTAAACTTATAGTATTGATTACCAAGAAACCTTTACACTAGTGGTGAAATTCAATGCTATAAATTTCTACTTTCTCCTACTGCTAATTTAGACTGGCCATTATTTTAGTTAGATGTTAAAAATGCCTTCTTAAATGGAGACTTGAAAGAGGAAGTGTATATGGGGATTCCATTAGGACTGAGAGGTCCAAAAAATGCAGGTAAAGTATTTAGATTGCACAAGTCACTATATGGTTTAAAACAGTCACCTAAGGCTTGGTTTGAAGTTTACCTGTGCTATAAAGGGATTTGGCTATGTTTAATGTCAAGCTGATCATACATTATTTGTGAGATAGTTTAGTCAACGAATAACTATTCTAATTGTGTATGTGGATGATATATTATTGATTGGAAATGATGAAAAAGAAATTGTGAAACTAAAACAATGCCTAACTGATGAATTTGAGACTAAAGACTTTGGAAATCTAAGATATTTTCTAAGTCTAGAGGTTGCTCGCTCTTCACAAGGTATTAAGGTATCACAGAGAAAATATATTCTAGATTTATTGAAGGAAATTGGAATGCTAGGGGCAAGACCTGCTGATACCCCAATGGAACTAAATTGTATTTTGGAAGTGAAGCCTAATGGGAAGGTAGTGAATAAAGAAAGATATCAAAAATTGGTGGGAAAACTCATATTTATCTCACACAAGATCCGACATATCCTTTGCAATAGGAGTTGAGTCAATTTACAAGCAATCCTTAGAAGGAACATATGGAGGCAGTATATAGGATTCTTAGATATTTGAAAACCGCACCTGGAAAGGGTTTATTCTTCTCAAAAGGGAATAAGAAGAATGTAGAAATCTATATAGATGGCAATAAGAGAGCGCTGGGATCAGAAAATGTAACAGATGTGGAAATTTACACTGATGTAAATTGGGTAGGAGCCATCTATGATAGGCGGTCCACCACTAGATATTGCACATTTGTATAGGGCAACCTAGTTACTTGGAGAAGCAAGAAACAACTAGTTGTTTCTAGAAGCTCAGCAAAAGTTGAATATAGAGCATTAGCTCTTGGAATTTGTGAAGGTATATGGGTTGTACAACTGTTGAAGGAACTTGGAGTAGAAATGAAGGTTCCTATAAAAATGTGGTGTGATAATATGGCAGCTCTCAAGATTGCAAACAATCATGTTCAACATGATCGTACTAAGCATGTTGAGATTGATAAGCATTTCATCAAAGAGAAAATTAAAGCTAAAATCATAGATTTGGCATATATTCTCTCAGGAAATCAAGTTGCAAATATGATAACCAAGCCTCTTGTTAAAGTAAAATTTGCAAAGATGATAAGCAAACTAGAAATGATCAACATCTATTCATTAGTTTGAGGGAGAATATAGAGAGTGGGCTGATGGGGCACAGGCCTATTAGCTAACTTAACCTAACCCTAAACCTAGTCCTATTTTTTGTTATGATTGTTTTTCTACTGATTCTTAGGGATTAGATATTATTTTATTATATTTTGTTCTGATATGATATTATTATCATATCTGCCTATGCTTTATAAATATTCTTCTCGTCTTTGAATAAAAGTGAAGTTCGGTTTTCACAAAATCATTAGTTATTTACCCTCGTAGATTGTGTGCTCAAGTTTTGTTACTTGTTCTACAAAGTCTTTAAAATATTAGCTTTTAATTGATTTTGAATATACACTTCATTGATTTTATTTAATAAATGATAGTATTTTTATTTATTTACTTTAATCTATTTTATTTTACAAGAGAAAGCATTAAGGCTATTTCGTTATTGTAAATTTAGTGGTTTAATATTTTTGAAGCTATATAGGATTTCTTAATCTTCAAGTTCATAATTATATTATATCGATTGTTCCCAGCTATTATATTTAAATTTTTAATATTTGTAGTTAGCAAGTGCGCTTCTTTCATTCAAATATAAATAAATTATTCTCTTTTAGCATATTAGAATCAAGTAAATTTAATTCATTCACATTTTATTATTATTATTAATATCTCTAGATTTAGTGAGTTATTATCCTGAATTATTTTTCTTTCAATTATACCATATAATGGTAAGTTTATTATTTGTTTTAAACTATATTATGTGGAATGTTATTTACTAAAAAATTCTTTTAATTTCAGATTCATTAATTGAAGTTAAAACTCCTGTCGATCATTGAAAGAGTTACAACTGTGTTAAGTGGATATTTATTTTAGAACCGCATTTCCTTTTAATGTAAATTCTGAAGTCTATGTATTATGCTTTGGGAACATAGGTTAAGGCACTCCACGATAACTATATTTAGATTCCTGATCTCTTATTATGTTGTTTATCTATCTGTTGTTAGAGAGCAGAGCTCCATATTCAAATTGTTGTTTCGTTAACTTTTGTAGAGATTTCAAGAGGTTCCATTTATACGGAAGATGGTGCTGAAATTTTTACAAAAGGGATAATATTTTGATTTATGTGATAAGTAATATAGGTATATTTAATTATGCTAATAATGTGTCAATAGTTAAATTTTTGAAATTTTCTTTAACAGAGCCATTAGGAATGTGTGTTTGTATATATATCTTATATCGGTCACCCTTAAGTTTTGGGGCATGACAAGGATGGTTCTTATACATGTTTTTGGAGGCATTTTTTAAAAATGCAATCACTTACAGGACAGTTGATTGTAAAAGTTGTCCTATATTTCTTTGAATCTCTAGATCCCCAGACCTCAATCCACCATTTCTTCCCCCTCTCAAAAGTTCAACCCTCACAAGTGCCTTGGTGTTCTCTCTTCTCTCGCCATCACCCACTTCATCGGCGTGTTCGAAGGGGGTCTCGATTGAGTGACAACCAAAAATGCACAGTGCTGCTGTTGGGCAACGATTGGAGGCTTGCTCTCTTTCAAGCAATTGAAGGCGATAAAGGGATGTCGCGTGTGATGACGAGGATTCTTGAGCAAATGGAGAGTGGATGTGGTTTGGCGGTGCTGATGATGCGATATTGATGGGGCTAAGGATCTCAAGCATTCTTGTGTCATCTGGGTTTGCAACTTTGTTCAATTGGATGTTTGATCTGTTGCCACAAGGGGTTAAGCTGAGAAGGGGATTAGGGGACACTGCAGAAGGGCTGTCTACTTTGTTTTCTGGGAATCTTGGTGGTTGGATTGCAACCACCCAAGCACCATGAAGACATTGTTTTGTTGCAGCCAAGGTTAGGGGGTTTTCTGGTTGAGCTTTTGGTTTATTTGGTCACCCCTGGTAGGTTTTAGACTTTTCCTTTGTGTTTTAGTTTTTTAAGCATTCCCAGATGTTGATCCTTCTTTAATTTCAGATAAACTGTCAAGTAGTTTTAATAACATGCTCTTTCTCCAGTAGAAACTCGACCATAGGTATTTATTATGTGCTTCATTTTCACACACACACACACACACACACACACACATATAGATAAATTCATGTTATTTCTTCTTCGATCAGGTACCTTGGTTAGAAAGTGCGAAGCAACTGGCACAAAACGAACAGTAGGAGAAACAGGTGAATTTTATTTTCATCGTATAGTTGAAATTTTATTATTGATGTGATTTGAACATGTACAGTTTGAATGGAATGTGAGAACATAGATCACTATGTGGTCTGACAACAGGTAGAAAAGTTCTATGAACTTTGGCGTGATGTTTAGTACTCTATGATTGCATTTAAATTGGAAACAAGTACTGGAGTGGGCTTCTACGTGATTATTATGGTGCCAGAGCAGCTATTTATTTTAAATATTAGATAGAAAGCTTAGAGAGAGACAAGGATTTTAGGCTTAAGGAATGGAGGAGGGAATGGATAAAGCTTACCTGTTTATATATTGGTCATGTAAAATACCTGTTTATCACTTTCTTGTAGTTCACTAAATCTAATAATGATTTGGGACATATAATTTATTAACCCACGTCATAAGCACATGGGGTCCTCAAAACAACATAGACTTCCTTCCTTTCACTGCCATACACTCGGCATGCTGAAGATATTCATCATGTAAGAGCTGTTATATTCCAGATAACTTGTCTCTTTTTTAAGAACGTATGGCATGGAATGACTTGTTCCCTGTCCTCATGCTTACAGATTTAACTTTGAATTTGTGATCTTGCTTAGCTGAAAAACGACTTTTGGATAATCATATTTATGAGTTATTAATCTATGAAAAGTGACTTACGTATCGTATGTATAAATATTGATGGGTTGTGGTTTTGGTGTGAAATAGGGGATATGACATTGAAATCCTACTATATTAATACTAATACAACTTGGTTCATTTGATTTTTTTTTTTGTTTTTTTATGTATTACATAGTTGCTTTGCTTCTAGGTCGAAATCATGATTTCACCAATGATTCTTTTTTTTTTAAAAAAAAAAATCTTATAGGTGATCACCCGCTGTTGGAAGGTTTGTGATTATGGATAGAGATTGATTTCTTTCTTTGCCTTTGTATGTCCTCTTTTCCTCTCCTTATTAGGTTGTAATTTTTGGAATCTCTTTTGTCAATGAACTGATCTGGTCATGACGTAACTTCCTCTCTGATTTATTCCTATAGCCTTTTCGGATTTGGTTGGTTCACTTTATTTCTGAACTTCTTCTCAAAGCAAGAATATCTTGCTTCACCTTCATTAATAGGTCATAGCTATTATTTTGACTATTCTTTGCTTGCTGTAATTAATTATATCCCCTCTTTTTTAATGAAATGTGCCACCAACATCCCTCCTATATGAGGGCAATTTTTCTTTTTTTAATAGCAAATGCCTCCAACCATCCTATATATGACACATGTAGGACAGTTTTAAGAACCATCCTTCATCTATCTCTGCAATAGTGGACGGTGTTCTCGATTAGGCAAAACAATCGCCTTCTATGACTATATCGATTTCTTGTGATATACAAGATGATAAAAGAAATAGACAAATTTTTTTTAAAAAAATATTAATTCTCAACATTGATTGTGAATTGATATGAAAAGTGAATTTTTATACTAATTAATACTAAAATCGGCGTAAAAAATATGCCTTTTTTACACTAGTTTTGGCATTAATCAATGTAAAAAATATACTTTCTATACACCGGTTATGAATTCATAATTAATATAGAAAATTGAGAAATTATTATTTTTATTTAATTTTTTGCTACGTTCTACACATGTAAAAGATTAATTTTCCACACTAATTATATAACATTGCTTATAATCATATAAGATTTTTAACTGTTATAACAGAATTTCTAACCGTGCCAAAAGCCTATTTTAGCACTAGTGTTATTAAATGCAAACACTGACCTTTCACATTTGGAGTTAAGTGAGATTAAAAACTAATATATGGCAAATTAAACTTTCAAAAATAAATTATCATTTTCTAACGACATATCACACGTCAACCACCTTATTTATTTTTTTTAATAGAAGAATTTAAGTTAACACTCAAAATCAAGTTAACTATAAAGGAGGCATAAAGGAATATGAAATTTCTTTGCAGGACCAAAGGTTCTAATTATAATTAAATATATTGATGAAATGATACAAATGCCCCTACCTCTTTCTTTTTTTTTTTTTTTTTGTTTTCATCCTTGGCTACTTAAGCCACTGCGCTGGTTGCCGACAAGGAGGCCACCTTTACTGGTGGCTAGCCCCTCACCACTGGTCGTCAGAGCTTGAGCAAAGCAGTCAAACCTAATCAAAGGGGCCAAGGGGGTTAGAGAGATTTGAATTATCGCCAAAACTAACATCATTGCGTCCATAATTAACCAAAGTTCATGAAGTGCTTAAAAAAAATAAATTTACAACATATATATTTTTTATTTAATATAATATTGATAACTTGTTAATATTAAAATAAGAAGTTAAAAAATTAAACTAGTTGAATTTTAGATATTGACAACTTTTTTTTTATGTATAAAAAGGTCATATTCGATTATTTATAAGTGATTATTCTATTTGGATATGAACAATAATGCATTCATGATTAACCAAAACTTATAAAAAATTCTTGAAAAATAAATTATAACATATAAAATTTTTTTGTTTAATATAATATTGATAATTTATCAATATTGAATGAACAAGTTTAAAACAAAAAATTGAAGAAGTTAGGTTTTAGAAATTAACAACTTTTTTTATATATGAACAAGTCATGTTTGAATATGTATGAGAAATTATTCAAATATAAACAACAATGCGTTCATGATTAACAACTCATATAAATACTTAAAAACAAAAGTTATAATATATATATATATATATATATTTTGTATTTTGTTATTAGATGGTTTTAGTAGTTCAGTAGCATATTATTTTTTGCACAACCAAGGCATCAAGGGTTTTCCTTAAAAAGAGGCAGGGCCGTTTGCATCATTTCAGCAAAATATTTAATTACAATTAAGGCATTTGGGCCTACAAAGGAATCAAATTCCTTTGGGCTTTCTTTGTAGTTATTTTAATTCTGAGGGACCTAACTGAATTTCTACCTATGCTATTTCCTCTTCATTTTGGATCACAATTGTCTATATATGGCTGCAAATTGTCGAAACTCAATAATGTTGCCATATGATGGACCACATTTGTGTTGATTTTTTCTACATTTTGGACCACTAGTGATTTCAGTGAAGCAATCTTTGAAGTTATGCATCCTCATAAGGTATACTTTTTTACTTCTATTTATAAGACAAATAAAAAATATTTATTTTAATTCTATTTATATGACATTTTAATGATTCCTAAGTCTATCCTTATAGTATTTTTATCCATAATAAATGTTAGAAAAGATATTAAAAATGTTAGGATATTTAAAAAAAAATATGTGAGTTTAATAAAGATAAGGGAAAATTGCCAAAAAATCCTTTCTTAGGAGGGAAATTGTTTATGATCTTGCACTACAAACCTATCGCTTTGCACTTTGCACTGCAAACATAACCTTGCACCCAAAACTTGTGAAAATGTCATGTTAGCCTTCAAAAATGTTATGTAATTTGCATGTTTGTGGTTTGAACAACTTGTTATCCATGTTACTTTTTTATAAACCATCACTTTTACAATAATAGGTTATACTTTCATGAAATTTGCACTTTTATGGTATGCAAGGCAATATAGGCTTGAGGTGTAAGGTGTTAAACTTGATATGTAAGATTATAGACTTGAGGTGCATTTAGTCTTTAAATTAGTCTTGGCCTCTTAAAATAATTTTCATTTTAAGAAAGGACATTATGATAACTTTTTTTAGAGATAAAGTTGTAAACTTATCTAAATTTTTCCTTCAGCCTGATGCAGAAAGAGGCCAAAGCCCAACTAAGCGACTCGTCAATTGTCATCATCTTTCATCCAAAGCGTTAATTGCATCAACTTGCATAGTTTCTTTCAGACTAAAATACAGAAATTGCATCGTTGCTGGCACGCCTCTTTCATTGCACCACCACTTATCCTATCCGCGTGCCGGTCTCCATCGACTTGACTTTGAAATTTAACATTAAAATTGATCAAATTTGAAATCCATAGATATTTTTATAAATATTTTAAAATTTTTATATCTTAAACTCCTAAGACAGGTGAGGTTAACCATCGTTGTCATTATTAAGAAATATTAATTATAATTTTAAAATTATAAAAAAATGTAACTGTTTTATTCATAATTAATAATCATGATAAATTGTTGATTAGAAATTCAAATAAAAATAAATAAATAAAAGATAAAATTAGAAAAGAGTTGTTAATTACTTTAATTTCAATTTATATTAAGGACCATAAAAACTTTTAAACTTCATCTTATATTAATTACTGAAGAGAGTACATATTATATATATTATAGTACAAAATTTCAAAAAATAATTGCACATTTTACTATATAGATTTTTTATTTTATATTAATATTAAAGTAAACTTTATAGTTTATAACAGTATATTTATAATTAACAAAATGGACAATTTATCACCTCAAGTTCCTATCTACAATACATATAAATGAAAATCATTTGTTATACGTACATTCTCTATAAGATATTGCATTTTTTTTATAAATTAAAAGTATTTTTTTTAATGCGCAATTAATAAGATTTTTTAAAATACTATTAAATATGATGTGTATTTAATAAGGTTTTATAATTGAGACACCCCATTAAATAAGAGTAATATAGAAAAAGTTTGTTATTTTAAAAATAATTAACTAAGTTATTGAAAAGTATAATATATAATTCAATTAAAAGTGGCTTATAATACTTAACATGGTGAGCAATAATGTAATATATTTGGTTGCAACATCAAAAGTTAGTACAAAATGTGCTCTTACCATTTGTGATAAGAATATTTAATAAATAATTAATATCGAATTATATCTTATTAAATTTTTTCCTATTAATAATTAGTAATTAGTTGGGCTCAATTTGCATGAAAAAGGAATCTTCCATGTATTTTGACAAGCGTTCATTTCCAAACCAAGGTCATTCAAACTATTTGTTCAAAGTTGCTTCTAATTCAAAAAACAAATACTACAAAAATCTTAAGAACATTGAAGAAAAGAATATTAACAACAAAGATGATGAAAATCTTGCATTAATCTACTTAACTAGGGTGATTTATAAACCCTAATTTTAAAGTGAAACAATGAGGTGAGGACCATGTTAACTTCTTTCTCTTAGGTAAGATTAAACCCCCTTACTTTAATGCCTAATCCGTATCCCTTTACATAGGGTCAGGCTAACACTAACATTCTAACGCCATCATTCATGCTTTATCTGTAAAATAATTAAATACAGCATTTTAAAAGTTTTATACTCTAAAATTAGAATTGAACCAAATTAATTGTTTCTGCAACAATTAAATTGGGTCGATGATAGATATTTGCAACAATAATGTGTATTATAAAACCATTTAGAAAGAAATAAAACAATATGAATTTAATACCTGTTTGTCACCTTCTTGTAGCTCACTGAATCTAATGATGATTTGGGACATATAATTTATTAACCCACGTCATAAGAACATGGGGTCCTCAAAACAACATAGACTTCCTTTCACTGTCATACGCTCGGC